CCATTTCTACCAGTGATCATTGTTTCCTTCCCACGGTACTACCGTGCACATGTCAATAGCATCTGGGCTGTAGGTTGCCAAGTTGAGGGGACAAATGGGTTGAAATTTGTATGCATCGATCGTATGAGAAAGATGCGTTTCATACAAGATCTGGCAACTGGACAACCTTGGAATTTGTTGTCGTGATTATTCATATAATGAGGTTTGGCCCATACAAATTACGGGAGTTTTACCAGAAGCGAATGTAGCAAACATATAAAATACGCCCAGTGGGATTTTTTTTATAGAAAGATTAAAAATATGGGAGAAATACGGGAAAATATTTAAACGGGATGATAGCGGGATAGAATGGTAAAATACGTGAGAATCCCGGGAAAAACGGGAGGGTTGACAGGTAGCCTATCCCTTAGAAATGTGTGTATCAACTATGATAGAGTAGGCTATAGGGTTAAGAAATATTCACACATTTTCATGGACAATCGTTCTCATTCTTCTCCCTTTTATTCTGCCTGTATGAACAGAAATATCAGTCTAGCAAGCCAGATCTCAGAGACAGGCGTAACGCGACGTCATTCACACTTAGTATGCTCTAATTCCTCTATTAGCCTTCATCCTCAAAGAAAGGCAGAGATGAGAACGCTTAATAATGTTGTGAATTACACGAAAACCAGATTTGTACAGTTTCTGCCAGAAGGTCAAGGTGTTGCTTTATGTGGTGTTGTGAAATGCAGTTGCTAGGGTATTCTGGCTGGTTGCTATGCCATTGCTTTGCTATAGTAGGTGGTTGCTAGGGTACTTATCCACACCAGTGATATTCTGCTCTCTAAATATGAGAGTGTGGATTTGATCAGATCACTACAGGACACAACAGTGTTGACTGCCTTAGCAAACTAATTATGTTACCACTAATTAAATGTCTGAAGAGAAGAAATTCTCTTTTCATTCAGTTTTTATTTCAAGTGGGTTTTGAGAGCTTGGTTTAAAATCACCTGCATGTATGAATTAAATGGAAAGCTGTTACAGGCAGAGCAGATTTCTTCATAGACTTTGCCACCCTGTGTGTGTGTGTGTGTGTGTGTGTGTGTGTGTGTGTGGAAAGAATCCTGCCAGTCACACACTCTGCGGGAAAGCAGGAAATGTGTGGGAGTGTTTTTGCCTTGACCCTCCTCTCTCTCTCTCTCATGGTTCCTCTCGTTTTAAACTTCTTCAATATTGCTCATTTGCCTGTGTCCAGATCTATCAAGCTCAAGGCCATAAGCATGTCTTGGAAATTAGATGGGGATGATCTTTTTATTTAAAGGATTAAAAGGGATTTAAGGCAATAATAAAAGATATAAGAACAGTAAAAAAACTGTCATTGTGTCATTCACAATTCTTTATTTTGAAAAATAATGTAAAATATGTACACATTCACTCTTATTTGTATGTATGGAAGCCCGTTTCCACCACAAAATAAAAAATAAAACAAGGTAATTGCGACTTTTTATCTCACAATTCTGACTTTCTTTTTTCTCACAATTGCAAGTTCATATCATATCATTCTGACTTTTTTTCTCAGAATTGTGAGTTATAAAGTCAGAATTGCGTGATATAAACTCGCAATTGCGATTTATAAAGTCAAAATTGCAAGATATGAACTCGCAATTCTGAGGAAAAAAGTCAGAATTGTGAGATAAAAAGCCGCAATTACCTTGTTTTATTTTTTATTCAGTGGCGGAAACGGGCTTCCATATGTATGACTAATATGTCAAAAGCACAAAATGTTTCTTGTCTCATCATAATCAGTTAGCCACTTAAATTATAGCATATTTTCAATTCAAAACTTCAAAATTAGCAGTTTGCAGCACTGGATATTACTGTCACTGGTTATCATTTGTATGGTAAAACAGTTGTCAGATATTAAACGTTAATCTACTTGTGTCTTACCTACTCTTTAGTTAACGTTAAAACTGAAGTTTTGCGTTGGAATTCGCACTTGCCTTCTCTGAACAGTAAAGCCTGCCTCCTTCTTGATGAACCTTCTCAATTCGTTTGATGGACCACTGAGGCAGAACAGCCATAAAATTTCACTTTTAAAACAAGGGTATGCAGGAAAGTCATGGCAACAATAAACAGGTGTGTAATGAAGTGCAGCAGTGCAGCATCAAGAATACAGCATTAAATATTGGGGAAGACAATTTGGTCATGTCTAATTACTGGGGTGGACGTGTTCCCCTCAGTATCTTTGGTGGTTACAGACCTGGTCATACAAAAGATGAGAGTTTGAAAAATGTTTCAAGTCAGTGGGGTCTGATGTTGTTTAGACCCCAACATTCTTCCAAACATCTTCTATGTTCTGCAGATGAAAGAAAGTCATGCAGGTTTGGAACGACTTGATGACATGAAACCAGTTTAAGCTGGTTTGCGACTCTCATTGCCCATGCAGACTTGGTGGCTGGCTGGATTTAGATGTTTTAGGTATTTAAAAAAAAAACGACATATAGTAAAACATAACCAACTAAACCATCTTTTCAGCAGCTTTCTAATTTTTAACACAAACTTTAATTTGAGATTGAATGATAATTGGCGGAGTGTTTTTCCAGCACATGGCAGCATTATGACAGTTTATCACTGAGCAACTCAAAAAAAACAGCTCATTTATTCATGTGCAGTCATTCCTCACTTTAATGCATTAGAGTGAACTAAAAATGTGTGATGTTCCCGAACAGTGACATGAGAATCACAAGAATCTGTCTCTTCCTGTTTGAATGTTCATTTCTAGTGAATACAGTCGCCTTTTTCTTCTTCTTCACATTCTAGTAAAAATCCTCAACCTTAATAAGGGGGTTTTGAATATAGTTGTGCATAGTTGCTTTAAAACGAGTACTGATTATGAAAAATAAATAATACACTTTAAAAGAATATGCAAACTGAAAACCGAATGCACAGTAATATATTCAGACACTTAATTGCATGTTAAATGAAAATGTATTAGTTTAAATTTATATAAAATGCAGTTAGCTGAACTTTAGAGTGTTTTTGACCCACTTATGTAGGACTTAAGTACACTGTTATCTGTAAATTCATAATTACTTCTATTGTCTTTTAAATATGGTTAAAGTGAATGTACTGACAAGCATTTATGGTAAACTAAAATATACTTAATGCCATTTCTTTTAAAACTCGTAAGGCATGTATTTGTAATGTTGAGGCTGCAATTTAGTACAATAGAGTATATTAACTTTACATGCAATATTGAATAACACGCTACAGTTATAATCAAGTGCTTTAATTTGACATTACAAAGTGGACTTTTTAAAAGTGCAAGTTAAGAAATGAAAGCGTCTCTCTTTGAGAGTGATGTTAAGTGATGTTTTATTTGATTAACATTTTAACTGCAAGTAGTTAATATACTTTTAAGATTTGGAGTACATTTTATTACAATTCAGCACACATCTTTTTTTTTACTATTGTTTGTGTGTTAAAATGAATAGACGTATCAACTTTTAAAAGGGTGGAGAAAACGTTCCCCTATCTTACGTTGTTAATGTGTCTACCATTGGTGCAAATGCAGTTTACATAAATCAGCTCTTTCTCTCTTTCTCTGCAGACATTTGCCAAATTAAACCCCAAACTACAGCCAATGGTTGACTTGATCAAGGTCAATCGCGCCAAATGGGAAGAGCTTCACCACAGACACCAGCGCAGCCAGGAAACCAGCAGCCCTGGCAGTCCACATAACGCAGACGCCACGGCAACCAGCTGCAGCTGCGCAGGCCCCAGCGACGCGGGCCCTTTTCATTCCGTCAGCTAACTCTGGAGAGACAAACCTGCCAGATTTTGCCAAATGCTTCTCTCTGACCCGCAGCAATGCAGACGGAAGGAGTTTTGACCTCTGCTGCACGCTTCAGACCAGGAGTCATTACCTCACTAGCGCCCTCTATCGGGCATTTGCTCTGTCTGCGAGCACTTCAGGCAACCGCTACCGAGTCTGCGTTCGTCTCCACAGTGCAAAGACTGCACGTTTAGCTAGCAATGGAGAACCTTAGGGATGTGTTTACGCCCAGAAGCTAATTGGCTGAATTAGCTACTTTAGGGCTAGCATGCTAACATAAAGACTCTATCGTGCGTGTAAGCTACTTTCAGCAGGGACTGTTTAAGAAGGATTGCCGCTTTTTGAAAGTTATGATAAGTGTATTTTTTCCTTTGTACCTTTGATCTTGTTGAATGGACACATGTCCTGAGCACTGGAGCTTGGTTCTATTCTGTGCATATATGTGAAGAAATGACTGCTGCAGGATTTGACTCTGTGTTTTGCCTTTGTTGTTTTAGCTGATGTATTTATTCCAGGATCAGGGGTTTGTGGAGCTCTTTTGTTGGGCTCTTGGCAATGCAAATCCACTCCAGCGCTGTCCTCCGTGCCTTGGTAAAACCCTATGATAATGCATGCAGCCCATCCTTGACATCACTCTTCTCTCTAGTTCACACTGCATATCATCATGGATTTCCCCTCATGTCTTGGGCCTGTTTCATATCTCGAAGGTAAGCAACGTGTGTTTTTATTCCAGCGCCTATGATAAAATATGGGCATTTATTCACACTTTTATTGTTTCAAGTAGGGGTGTGCGATATACATCTTCTACGATAATATCATAATTGTTTCATCGATATGCGATTTGACATTATCAAGTATATTGCAAAAACCTAACAATGAACATGTCCAATAAACAAGAAGCTAATATTAATTGACATGCAGTTTAGTCAACAAACATAGTTTCAAACAAAACCTCTCTGAAAAACACACGATGGTGTTTCGTTACTGAACTGATCAGCCTTTTGCACGAATCAGTTGAATGAATGATTCAATGACTCACTCATGCAGTGATTTCCCGCCGATTTTAAGTTTATATTTAAAGTATATTTTCCCTTTTTTTTTTCCAAAATCCTTTTTTTTAACATCAAAACATTAATTATACATTTGTAGCTGCAGGTTAAATGTATTCATGTCCTACGTTTAACAGTCTTATGTGAATGCATCTAAATGCCACTTCAGATGCAGATTCTGTGCCATCTCTGCATTGAACATTTTATTTGAGTATAGTGTCTTAATATTTGAATTTATTGATTACATTTAAGAATTTGACACAAAAGATGATGCATACATTTAATTAGGTTAAAACATTTGGCCTTATAAAGATAAAAATTTTCATAAAAGGTACAAATCTATTTAAACTTATTGGAAAAGTGAATTTCTGTTACTCCTACAAACTAACCACCTCACAGAATATGAAGAGTATCAAAAGTTTTGGGAGTCAGCTGTCCACGACAGTCCTAAACCTGCCAAAATACCAGCACAATAACATGCTCAGCAAAATATTGTCTAATTATCGTTATCAACAAAATTCCAGAAAATAATTAGATTTTTTTTTTTTTCATTATCGCACACCCCTAGTATGTATGATGCAAAAAAAAAAAAAAAGAAATTCTGAAGATTTGTACTCTGGTGCATTTCCCAAAATCATAGTTAACCAACAATGCTTGCAAGTTCTGTCGTTACCAACATAGTTCAACAGTTTGGTGTTTCCCAAATCTATATTCCAACAAACATTCGCAAACAACTTGGCAAAGTTTTCACTCCGCCGCCTTAACGTCATTAACCAAAATTGTCCAAATGATGGATGTGCGACAAAGTTACTACTTTTTCGGAAAACAGTTAAGAATAATTTGTATCTCCAACAATGCATCGTACTATGGTAGTCAGTGAAATATGCCATCATTCGAGGAAACGCACCACAAGACTCAAAAGGCCTAAACATACCATAAAAGCCATACAATAGATTTCTAGAGTTTAACTTTAGGTTTTGGTTTCATGTAGTTACTTATTACTTACTTTTTGGCTATAAATGTGATGCCTCTCCTCATGTAAATTACATTTCATGATGATACACTTTGTGATAATTCTCACTGGCCAACTCCTAATAACCATTTCATAAATTATTAAAGAAAACACTTGAAGTAGTAACCCAGAAATTCACAGTTGCAGCTTTGTAACGTTTATTTAGAAAAAACAAAAACAAAACCTAACTTAGGGGCCGTTCACACAAAATGCGTTTTTCCATTCCAATGTGCTATTTTTCCATTGTTTTTCTATATAAACGCGCTAGCTGGATGTGTATGACCGTTGCGCTCGCGTCTCCGTGTTTTTGAGATGCCATGTCAAGTTAAAAAAAAATTAATCTTTTACACGCATTTCCATCATTTCCAAAACAGTGGACCAATCAGAAGTCCCCGTAGGCGGGGCAAGCATCGCAAGCTTTTGTTTACAGTAGCAAGTTGGCATGGAAGCTGTTTTTCTGTGACGGCAACATAGCAGAGGAAGCACTGATAGTGGCTGTGTGCGGATATAACATTTTTTCAAGCAATTATCACAACCTGTTTCTTTACAAAAGGAGCCTGATTTTCTATTCTGCTGTTTGGCTGTTTTCTGTTATTGCATCCCGTCCCGAGACCCTTGCCTTTTAAAACCATTCCTGAGCGTTGTGTCTCGCGTTTTTAGACGCAAAGACGTGTTGTGTGTGAACGGCCCCTTAGGCTGGAGTGAAACAAGCCTTACATGCCTTGCTTGTTTTAGCCACATGAAGCAGCATCCAAAATCACATACTTCCCTACTATATAGTAGGCCAAAAACAGAATGTGAAAAGAGTAGTATGTCCAAATTCACAGTATTCATAAAACATTAGTTGAAAAGCACCCGGATGACCTTCTACTTGCGGCGAGATTCTTAAGTGCACATCCAATGGACACATACTGTAACCTACCCAACTGATGCTGTTAGGTTACGTGATGAATGTAGTACGTACATATTAAAGTCATAATACACACATAACATACCATTTTAAAGTAGTACTTACTCGGAGAGTATGTGATTTGGGACGCAGGTATTACCTCAAACCCAACATCCCTCATTCCAGAACCTGCAGAACTCCAGAACACCTGGCAGGTTTACACAGAAGTTCTACACACCTTCTGCATGTTTGATTAATTATTAAATAGTTTGAATAATTTGGTCATGCTACTACAGAAGTGCATTACTCTCCTCCACAGATTGTCTTGTAAAATTAGTGTAGAATATGTGGGGGGGAAATGTCTGCAGGTTCTATTTGGGCCTATTTCTAACTTCAGACTGCTTTTGTCAGCCACCTTTTTTCCCCATAATTGTCAGTCTAATCGGAGACTTGTATGTGCCTTTACTAATTAAAAATCTACTTCAGTGCACACAAGCATCAAAACAGAATCTTTGCGTCCTGAAGTGGACTCTGGTTTGATACGTGACTGCACTTTGATCAGCGTGTTGTGGTTTGAAAGCCTCCTTGTGCTAAAAGGAAATGAACAAAGGTAAAATGTCAACTGATAAAGAGTAAAATGTAATTGCATGAAGAAGTGTCTGCTTCAGAGATGAACGGTAACCTGTAATGAGTCATCTATAATTCATTATTCAGTACTTGCATGAAAGCAGCTGTTGCATCG